CGGGGGGCGGCTGCATCAGCCAGGGCCAGAGCTACGACACGGACAGCGGCCGGGTGTTCGTGAAGAGCAACTCCAAGGCGGAGGTGCGTGTGTGGGGGTCGAGGGCGGGGAGGTGGCGCTGAGGGGACGGGCGGCGGGCTGGCCTCCGCCGGAGGGCCGGAGCGCGGGCTGTCGGGCGGGCGCAGCGCAGGCAGTGAAATTTCGACCGCCGGTGTTCGGGAGGTGTCCGGGGTTGGAGATGAGCAGAGTTTGGAGCTTCTGCCCTGTCAGGAGTCGGCTGCGGCGGCGGACAATACCTGGTTCCAGCTACTGTAGGAGGTAGGTCTCTGCATTTGATAGAATAATTTGTTACCACGTAGCATACCCGTATGCCATCTTTATTTGCAACAGCAGAGGTCAGGTGGAATTTACTTTAGAGGTGCTCTACACTTGTGTCTGTGAAATGAACAGCTTCACTAGAACGAAGCCAGAACTTGTCTTTGCCTTTATTAGCAAACAAATGGTTTTGAAAGCATGTGTGCAATTGTATCCATTCTCGGTTTGTCTGTGTTTTCTGGTCATTTCAGGGAGTTGAATGGATACACTGAGGGAGTAACGTGGGAAAAAACAGAAGGGTTATCCTGCTTTATGTTAAACTGAAAATAGTTTGAACTGGTAACTATAGCACTACCACTAAGGCTTTTATTAATTGTGTATTTAGGTGTACAATTCAGCTAGCTACAAGACAGGGCTTGGAAAAAAAGATCTGGATAAATTTTGTGTTCAGTAATCATTTAATTTTCTATGGCTCTGCCTGCGTGTGGATTCTGAGTGCTGATTAAAGCAAACTTTGCCAAACTGGATTATAATGCTGTGCTGTGTGTGCAGCAGTGGGTGTGTATCAGCAGTTTCTATAGAAAACATTGTGGGGTTTAATCCATTAAAGTTAGCAGCTGACTTCAACCTAGTATGATTCTTTAGACAGAGATACAGTATTTACTGATTTCATCTGAACAAAGCTAACTCATGGCTCAGTAATTTAGCAGTTCTTAATTTTCAATCTCCTGTAGGCTTTGGAATTTTTACTCAATGTCTACTGCAAATTGTCCTTTGACTGCTTTTCATGTGTCAGTACTAGAGGGCTAGTATTCAATTTCTTTTTTATTAATTCTATTTCCTTGCTTTTGCCTTTAGCAGACACTGTAGATTTCCCATGTATCTTTTTTTCTGCAGCCTTTGCCTGACTCTTCTAGAGTAATATTTCTTCGTGTGACTAGTGTGACTGATGTCAGTGGAGTAACTCAGGAGAACAGATTTTATTCCATGGGGTAACAGATGCAGAAATAGGTCCTAAAATCAGAATGTCTTCAGAGCAAATGCAGTTGGCAGTGGCTTGAGTTCTAAGGGCTTCTGTGTGCAAGTGCTGTAAGGGGAATTTGGCAGCTATCACTGATACTATTTTCTCCTCCCCTGTCCCATGAAAAGAAATAGGCCAAGGAAAATCATTCTTTGGGTGAAAATCAGATTGTTTTGAAGATGGGTTATATTACTAAGCAGTCTGTGTTAGGAAAGCTGTGAAGACCATTAATGTCAGCACTGTTTTTGTCTCTCGACTAATGAAGTATATGGCCCATAGATATTTAGAATCATAGAATAATTAAGGTTGGAAAAGACCTCCAAGATCATGAAGTCCAACCATCAACCCAACACTACCATCACCACTAAACCATGTCTCCAGATGTCACATCCACACATTTTTTTGAACCCTTCCAGGGATGGGGACTTAAACGCCTCCTTGGGCAGCCTGGGCCAATGGCTCACCACTTGCAGGAACGAAATTCTTCCTGATATTCAATCAAAACTTCCCCTGGCACAACTCTAAGCCCATTTCCTCTCATCTTATTGCCAGTTACCTGGGAGAAGAGACCAACTCCAACCTCCTTTCAGAGAGCTGTAGAGAACAATAAGGTCTCCTCTCAGCCTCCTTCTCCAGGCTAAACACCCCCAGGTCCCTCAGCAGCTCCTCATAAGCCATGTTTCCCAGAGCCCTCAGCAGCTTCCTTGCTCTTCTCTGGACCTGCAGTTTGCTGTGTAATCAAGTAATAAAACATTTCTTACCTTTCATGCATGTGCAGTTTGCACTCCTTCAATTGTAAACAGACTTTCTAAGTTATTTTTATAGAGAATGCTAGAACCTAAGTCTCTTCCTCGTAGTTGGTTTATGAAGAGAAGTTTCTGTAATTGTAAAATTACTGCCTGGTCTGGTGTTGTGGATCTACCTGTGCCCTGTACGTGTAGTAACCACTTGCTTCACTCTTTTTAGTTAACATTTACAGCCCTGACTGGTTTGGAGAAAGAGCTTTGCTTACTTGTGCCTGGTGTTCAAAGAGACTAATGCTTTCCTTTAATATTTGGCAGGCCAGAAGAATGTTTGAGGGAGAAATGGCAAGTTTGGAAGCCATTTTGAAAACACAGACAATCAAAGTTCCTAAACCTCTTAAAGTGATAGACGTACCTGGGGGCAGTACTCTCTTTGTGATGGAACATTTGGAAATGAGAGGCTTAAACAGGTAAAATACAGTATTATCTTTGGTTCCTTTAGTCAGAATTTTTGATTGGTATGACAATTAAATTACTTGTTTTCAAAGGAGAACCTTTTTTTGTTAAAGGTAGTCAAGATACGTTTGGGCAGTTACACACCTGAGAGCTATAAAGTACTTCATAATGCTTCACCTAGCAAATACATTGTATGTCAAGAAGTGAGCATGGGTTTTCTTTAGTTTTGGGTTCGTTTGGCATAAACATTTCAGGGGATAGCTACAACCTGTGTTAACAGGAACAAAATGAAGAAATAACTTTGCCTTAAATGACAGTGCCTTGAGAACAGGGAAAGATGCAAGGTCAGTGACAAGAAAAGGAAGATACTTTTGTTAACATGGAGGCAGTTGGCTTCAAGAGTTTGTGATTACTGCAATACTTTTCTGAACTGTGTAGAGGATAAACTTTTAGTAAAAATAGATGAAGAGTTAGGTGGCCTTCCATCTTCCAGGTGTTTTAGAGAGGAGCTGAAGACAGAGACAAAGGCGTAAGGAAGAGGATGAGTCTTGTTTGGCACTATCGCCTGAAGACAGTTTAGACAGCTTGCCAAAAAAACAAACAAACCAAAAAACATAACATGTTGTGCATGCTCTTCTTGCAGTTGTTACTGAAAGTTCATACAGAAGTGATATCACAGCAATCAGAATTGATAGTTTCTCGTTGTTATTAAATTTATGATCGCTACTCACTTTGACTTGTAATAGAGCTGTCAGAAACAACCATGTAAGTCCAGTTTGTTCTATGGTAGTACATAATCTTTATAGAAAGAGGAAGCACTTATAACTGGAATATTTTCAAAATGCACTTTGTTAGAGATGCAGAAGTTCACTTGCTTGATAAATCTTTTCAACTAACTTCTGAACTATCAAGAACTGGATTAGTTCATGTGCCAGCATTGCTAAGAACATGTTCTTACTTTTTCTTACTTTACTTGTTTCTTAGGCATTCAGCAAAGCTTGGAACACAGCTGGCTGATCTCCACCTGCATAACCAGCGACTTGGAGAGAAGCTGAAGAAGGAGGAGAGCACAGTTGGTACCGTACACAGTTGTTCACAAATTTAACCTAGTTAATAGCAATTAACAAAATAGTTAAAACAGCTTTTGTTATTTCAGGATAAATTTGTAATCTCCCTCTAATGATATTATGCAAATAGATTTGGACAAAACACCCATGCAGGGGAGTTCTTTTTATTGTTGTTTCCTCTATTTGTATCTCTGTAAGCAAAATGTTCCTTTAGTTTGTGAGCCTTGGGATCCTTAGCCACAGTTTCTGCAAGGACATAATATCTGTCAGAAGAGATACGCTACCTTAAAATGTGATTATTAAGATTATAATATAGCTGCTTAACATCAAGCTTTAAACATAAAATGCAACAACCACCATTGTAACAAAGTATTAAGGTGCAAATTTATTTATACTCAGTAGAAGCAGCATTGTATCCTTGCTAGTTTGTAAGGTCCATTTGCATTGTAGATACTTAGAATCTTGTGATTGGTATTGGATTTTTGTCTTTGGTTTGAAAGGTAAAGGTCAAGGGCAAATGGAAGTCCAGTTTGTGGATCAGTTTGGCTTTCATACAGTTACCTGCTGTGGCTATCTTCCACAGGTAGGTTACGCTTCATCAGACTAGTAGAAATTTAAGTTTATTTTATTTTCCCTTCAGTGACACACAGAGCCAAATTAGCATAATGGAAATTTATTTACTGCTGTGGAGTCATGAAAAAAAAAAACATTGTTCAGCCTGCTAAGGAAAGTAGTGCTTTGGACAGCACTTAGAGCTGCATTGGTATTCAGATCTCTTCAGTTTCTTAGCTTTTATCACTTAAAGAAAATTATTTATTCTCCTAAAGTAATGTTTTAAGATAACATTCTGTTAAATGTTACTTAGTGCCTTGGATGGTATCAGCACAAAAGCTGTTTTTGAAAAAGAAGAAAATGTGTCTTCTGCATGGTGTAGAATTAACATCTGCAGTCCTTTTCCTTCAGGTGAATGACTGGCAGAATGACTGGGTGACTTTCTTTGCCAAGCAAAGAATCCAGCCCCAGATGGACATGATTGAAAAGAATTACGGAGACAGGGAAGCAAGAGAACTTTGGGCACAACTTCAGGTAGGAGAAGTTCTCTCAGCTCTCGTTATAATAGAATCCTTTAGGTTGGAAGA